ATGTCAACTTTCCTACTCCTCTGATGCTGCCTGACCTGCTGTGTTCCCCCAGCTCCACACTGACTCTGGAATACTTTTTTATTGTTAGGATAGATGTTTTCATTTTTAATGGGATAAGCTTTTACTTGCACCAATGTAGGTGATTGATACAAAAGCTCAACTGTAAATGAATGTTATCTCTACCACTGTCCTGAGAGAAGTATTTCCTGAGGCTTGCATCATGTGGAGTAACTTACTGTGCAATGATCTGGTGATTTCAACATGATGTATTTTCAGAATGTGGTGGACAGGGTGACGAACCTGCCTCTTGTGAGCTCAGCCTATGAAATGGTATCGGCTGCCTACAACAGCACCAAAGAGAATCATCCGTATGTGAAGACCATTTGTGATGTTGCTGAGCAGGGAGTGAAGACTATCACAGCTATGGCTGCCAGTGGCACCAAACCAATCATGGACAAGCTGGAACCCCAAAGTAAGACTGGAGTATACACCAGCTAACTGGAATGGATGACTGATTGGAAATTAATTCCATAATGTTGACTGTTTTTAAAGTGTAGCTTTTAGGTGTCTGTCTACCATTGACTAGCTGCCACATGATTTGAAACTAAACTCTACCACTGCCAGGTAGTTCCACCTTTGGGTTTCTGTGTTCTGGCTGCTGAAGAGGGGATTTTCTGGATTTGTTTTAGATTGTAGTGCCCATTCTCTCTATCATTGTGGTGATGTGTAGTGGATAGAGGGAACTGGAATAAACAATTTGAGCATAGGCTAAGACTTCAATGCTGCACTGCAGTCCCATCTGCCCTTGTGTGGCTATTCAAGACAGGCCATGGAGAAAACCAAAAGTTGGCCTGGTGTCTTGGCCAAATGTATTCCTCTACCACTGTCTCAAAACAAATCATCTGAACACTAACTGTTTATTTGAGGAGGCCTTGCCATGTGAAGTGAAACAATTTGGTTGTTGCTAGTTGTGTATTAGTCTCTATCAGGTGAACTTTAATGACAAATACATTCTAACTGCAGTATTAATGGCAACATAATTTGGCCCAGTGCCAGATTATGCACTGACTAATTTGGTATCTAATATTTCTGTTAGAAGCAGCCCACTAAATGTGACCTTTTAATAAATGCTAGTAGTGATTATAACACTGACTAATTGTGTACTGAAACTCCAGGCTCTAACTTCCAATCTCCTGACTAGTTTCCCCTCTGGAATGACTCTGCACAAAAGTCTGTTACTACCACATGACTAGTAGCCAGTTATTTCAGGCAATAAATGCAACTGTTATAAGATCTATTTTCAATATGCTACCTTTCTATAAACTAGAAATTAATATGCCTGCAGTTATCTTAATAGCTTCTTGTGGCTGAAGTGCAACTTCTGTAATGAGCTAGTTAGTTCAATGTGAGCATTTTACACTTGTCTCTCCAAGCCAAGTTTGTTTTTATTTTTTGTGCTCAGTTACAGCAGCTAACGAATATGCCTGTAAGAGCTTGGATAAACTGGAGGAGAAGCTTCCAATTCTTCAACAATCAACACCCCAGGTAAAGAAATTGTCTGCAGAATGATCCTTACAGATGGCACCAGCTTATCATAACTTTCTAGTCAAAGAATGTTTAAAGCACAAGATCTACTGTATCAGTACAGTTTCTGCAAGAGTAGCTGTTAACACATTTTCCTGTAGACCACTTGTCAGATGGAGTAAACTAAGCTTTAGGAATACTGTGCTTGTAGTCCTCCTTTTATGATAGTTGCTAGTGAGGCTACTAAATTTGGTAATGCCATGATTAGTGTCTGATTTATAGTCAGTAACATAGATATGGTAGATCTTTTTGTCCACATGTCCTGGGTGCTAAACTAAATTTAAACCCCATTTTCAATTTTCCTTTCCTTTTTTGTGGCCAGCTTGGTGTCTTCCCAATCACTAATTCTGACTTCTATTTGTATAGCTTGTGTAAAGTAGGTGACTAGCTTTTATGGTTTTGTTTGGCATTCAGTCTAAATGTTTAGCTTTAAGTTAGGCATTCAGCTGCATATGAATCCACATTAAGTTATGAAATTGAGGTGTCCCCTGTGGATTAGAAGTAGTAGGTGTGACTTAGTATTGTTCTTACTTGAGGATTTGAACACCATCTAATTCAGTCAAAGGCTGACTATGAAACATTGGCTGAAGGTCCCATACTGTATTTCACTTGATGTCCAACTGAGGCACTGTCCCTTCAGGTAGCTCTATTTATTTTTGAATTCAAAAAAATCCTAGGTACTATTGAAAGCAAGGAACATCAATTGCTTACAAAGAGCCCTTTCTTCCCTTTAAACAGAAGGAAGTCGTGACTGTCTCTCCATGTGACTTTTGACAAATTCCAAGATCTCCCAAATAACGTGTCCATACTGATTCCACATCCTTTGATTTAACACAGCTGAGACTCAACTAGTCAGTTTGGTTGGGAAGATTTTTGCCAATCAATATAAAGTTGTCAGTGGCTATTGAGTTTTGTTCCTGTATGAAACATGGAATCAGGCAGTTTAGAAACTCCATGGCCTTTTTAAGTGTTGATGCATCCTTGAGCATTAATTTGAGAATTCCTCTGAATGGCTGGCTGTGAATGTGCTATATTTATGCAGGTTAGCATAGAAAATAGGAGCAGGCCACTTGAGCCTGCTCCACCATTAAACATGATTGTGGTTGATCCTCTCTCAATACCAATCCTGTGCTCTCCACATTCCTGGACACCTGTTTTAGTCTCTGAAAATATATCTATCTTAAATATGCATAGCCTCTCCTCCATAGCAATCTCTGGTACAGAATGGTAAAGGATTTCTCCCCACCATCTAAGGAAATGTTTCCTCCATCTCTGTCCAAAATGGCTGACCTTAATCCTGAGACAGTGACCCTGTGACTTGGACCTTCTGGCCAGGAAAGAAATTGTCCCTGCGTTCAGTCTGTCTGGCCCTTCAATTACTATCCCTGTCATCTTCTAAACTCCAGTGACTATGGGCCAGTGTCACAGGATGAACCTTTTTACTGCACTAGCTCCATGGCAAGTGCATCTTTTCTTTCAGTAAAGAGATCAAATCTACAGAATGCAGCGTGTGGTCACACCAAGGTTTTGAATAGCAGCACCAAGACTTCCTTGGCCTTTATATTCTCTCCCTCTCTTGCAAATGACATCAACCTTCATTGCCTTCTGAAATTCTTCTTACACCTAGCAATAAGGTTGACTTTCAACTGGGCAATAAATGATCACCTATCTGATGACACCCACATCCCATGAATGAGAAAATAAGTATTGACTGTGTTCATAATGACAGGCCTGTACTGGGCATGATATTACACTTGGAGTTAATTTGTCTTTTTAATTATGCACATTAACCTCTGCATAGGTTGTCGCTGATACCAAAGAGTTGGTTTCATCCACAATAACTGGAGCTAAAGATGCAGTCTCCAACACTGTGACTGGAGCAAAGAATACAGTGACTGGTGTTGTAGATATGGCCAAGGGAGCAGTCCACGGCAGCATTGAGAAAACCAAGTCTGTAATGGCTGACGGAGTTGATGCTGCCATGGCATCCAAAGTAGGGCAGATGGTGGTCACTGGTGTTGACAGTGCACTCAATAAATCTGAAGAGATAGTTGATTATTATCTTCCTATGACTGAGGAGGAACTGGGTAAGAAAAGATCAATTTTTAACCACCTCTCTCATTGAGATGCTTTTTGTATGTACTTCAATTACAGTGAATGTGCACATTACACTTATTTATCTGAAGTAATGAGGCTGTCGAGTACAAATGAATCATGACTATCATGTCAACCTTGATGTACACTATTGAAGTTGAGATTCCTTCAACTTGGACTGTTGAAAGTATTTTGTATTTCAAAAATGCAGATGTTTATAGCTATGGTAATAGTTCAAACTACAAACAAAATCTGTCCACATTTTAGTCATCTATTTGACTTTAACTAAACTGTTATGACTTAAATTCTTATTTTCTGGTGGGGTGCGAACACAAAACAAATCATACTAGAATGGAATTTTAGTTGTTAAAATCTTCATATTGCTGGCAAAATCAGCATTTTTGCCCTTGAGGCTGTAAATTAAACCAGTGTAATCCCTGAAGTAGGCATATCCATTATTAGGAACGTCCTTTCTCTTTTCAATCTAGCAATAATGGGATGGCAAATTTTCCAAATACAGCTGTTTTTATTTGAGTGTCAGAAATCACACTACACCAGGTTATAGTCCAACAGTTTTATTTGAAAACAAGCTTTCGGAGTGTAGCCACTTTGTCAGGTATTTTTGAGGGAACTCATTTAGCCATCCTTCTGTACTTTTGCCCTGATTCTTTTGGGCACAACAGGCACAGATGAGGTGGGGTCAAAGGAGTTTTGGCAAACTACTGCAGCACAACCTGTGGATGGTGCAAAGTCTCAGATATTGCTCACTAGTGGAAAGGATGAGATCAGTCAGTAAGCTGGGTTGTCTGATAGTGTCAGAACTGCACCTTTTCTGGGCACTTTCTCTATCAGAGCTGATATGGTTTTGGAGTCAGATGAGTCAATTGCCATGCTATATCCAGACTCTGACCTCCAACAACTCTGACAGTTGTGGTTGGGGGTGGAGTTCAGCACTGGTCATGTCTCTGAATAACAAGGGACAGTATTTGATCACTTTTTTTTTTGAGATTCCTGTTTGGCACTTAAACATAGATGTTGCTTATCAATACAAGCTGAGAAATTGTCTGGGTACTGCTGTGTGCAGCCACAGATTGCTACACTGTTTATCTGAAGTGGTGTGAATTGGATAAGCTCACTTCCACATTTGAACATCCCCAGTTCTGATCTGTCATCAGGGAAGGTCATTATAAGCTGGGGAAGTAGCTGCAGATTCCTAGGACTAGGACACTGTCCATAGGGCTTATAACAATGTCCTGGGAGTGATTAAAATTTGCCTCACTGAAATAATCTTCCTTAGTGCTAACTGACTCCAGTCAGCGGAAAACTCCCTATAAGCATCCAATTTAGATTGAAGCTACATTCAAAGTTACTCACTGGAATTCTGCTCTTGGACAAACACAAAACTGAGTACTAGTACCTGCCTGTTGCAAGGTCTGTCAGCAATGATTTCTATAATTGGGAGGCTGAATTGTCACACTTGTACATATGACATATCTGGGGTGATTCCTCTGAATAATTCTGCATGCTAGAACAAACACTTGCCTCTCAAACAGCAGACTTGACCATAAACATTTTGGTGTTTCAGCACAACTAGCCACTCCTGTTGAAGGTATTGAGGTGGCTCCAGCACCAAAGCAGAGTTACTATGTGCGCTTGGGATCATTATCTTCAAAAGTGCGCCATAGAGCATACCAACACTCAACATCTAAGATGCAGAAAGCCAAGCAAAGCAGCCATGACATCATGGTTCAGCTTCATAACACAATGGATTTGGTAAGTATACACACCTATCAAGTGGTTTTGACATGGACCAGAAGCTGTTTGTTTTTTCTCTGCAAGGACCTGTGAAATCAGTGTGCATCTACAATCTGTTAACTACTGTGTGGATAAGTTGTTGGGTAGGGCTTCCCCAAGTCAGGTCATGACCTGAAATTTTGAGGTGGTGCATTCTGAGGCAAAATTCTATAAGAAATAGGAACAGAAGTAAGCTGTTCTAACCCTTGAGCCAGCCTGCCATTCACCAATTCAAATGGTTAATCCAACATTCCTGACGTACTCTTTCCTTTTGTCCCCTTAACACACTTTTTTCTTGAAGTAGGAGAATAAAAAAAATCTATCTTGGCCTTTTTAAATATATACAGTTCCTCTGACAGAACTATAACAGCTGTAATTCTGCTAACCAGCTTCTCCCAATCCTCCTGCATTATACTGTTTTCACTGATCAGTTGCAACAACTTTTCAAGCTTTGATATGAGGTCATAGTGGGGGAAATGTTTGAAGTGCAGCTTGGGTTTGCACACTTTGTTGTGAAAAGTCACTCGTGTTAGAAAACATTGTCTTGCATGCTCCCACCCATGTTCCATTGCACAACTTTTTGTAGCCAGTCTCCAGGTAAATAACTGTCAGACTTTGAAAATCATGGCAGAACCCTTGACCCACACCAGCCACTGGATGGGAATGTGTTGATCATCCTCCTCTTTCAGTTTATATAAACTGAACTGCTGCATTTAACTCCAAGTTCTATGCTGTAGAGATTAGCAATCTCTCTGCTAAATTGAGTACCTCAAACAGTGTCAATGGGAATGCAGTGTGGAGGGAAGGACACTGACTCCTTTAAAGCAAGGGGCAGCTCTAAAATCCATTAAAATATATGAAACTGCCAAAAGAACAGCAGTGGGGGAATATGTAGCAATGTTCCCCAAGGGTTAGTGGGACCAGTGCTCGCTCTTAAACTAATGATCTAGACTCATGCATTGCATAATTTCAAATCTTGTGGGTGACATAATTCAAATTAGTGCAGTAAAGTGAGGACTATAATGGACTTTGAGAAAACAGTCTAGACTAGTAAATTGGGCCAATCTCTGACATTAAGTTCAGCTGTTGTGAAATAGTGTTTTGATTGGAACAATAGATATCAATTAAAATGGTATGATTTCAAAGGCACAAAGGAGCAGACCTGGAATTGTATGTACACAATCTAAACAATGGCAGGGTAACTTGGTTTTTACCTTTTTTGAGGAATTGAATATAAAGCAAGGAGGGTTGTAAGTAACATTGATAAAATACTAATTGCTCAACTGGAGTATCCAGTTATGGGTGACTTGGAGATGGCATGAAGGACCCAAATGAGGTAACCTGAAGAGGGTGGGATTGTTTTTGTTTAAAACAGGAAATGGTTGAGCAAGTGTGCAAGGGTAAATAAGGAGAAACTGTTTCCAGTGGTACCCAAGACTGCATGCAGATGATGCAAATTCAGGTGATTAGCAAAGAATGAAAAGCAAGATAACTTGATATTAAGTTTTTGATCTGAAGTTGTTATACAAGTAGATGTTCATCCAATTCCTTTTGGAAATTCTGACCCTTCAGTCCAACTTGTCCATGCTGACCAGATATCTTAAATTATCTAGTCCAATTTTCCAGTGTTTGACCCATATCCTTCTAAACCCTTTCCATTCATATACCCATCCAGATGCTTTTTAAATGTTGTAATTGTACCAGCCTCCACCACTTCCTCTGGCAGCTCATTCCATTCACCCACCCTGTGTGGGAAAAAGTGGTCCCTTTTTAAATCTTCCCCTCTCTCCTTAAACCTATGCCCTCTAGTCATGGGCTCCCCTACCCTGGAGAAAAGACCTTGGCTATTCACCTCTATCCATGTCCCTAATGATTTTATAAACTTCAATAAGGTCACCCCTCAGCCTCTGACACTCCAGGGAAAATAACCCTAGCCGAACCAGCCTGTTCCCTACAGCTCCAACCCTCACCTTCATTGTAAACCTCTTCTGCACCCTTTCAACTTTCACAACATTGCTCCTCTAGCAGGGAGACCAGAACCAAACAGTATTCCCAAAGTGACCTCACCATTGTCCTGTGCAACAGCAACATGACTGCCCTACTCCTATTCTCAATGCACTGACCAATAAAGATAATTGTGCCAAACACCACCTTCACTATTCTGCCTACCTGTGACTCCACTTTCAAGGAACAATGAAGCTGCACTCCAAGGTTTTTGGTTGGCAATACTCCCCAGGACCGAGTGTGTCTGTCCATCTATCCACAGGGAAACAAGCAGGAATAGGGCCAATTGGATAACTCTGCCTCCAGGCCAGCATAAGAACAGGTGGTCTCTTGATAGTCATTCTATACAACAAAATCTACATAGCTCTAAACAAACACTTCAATCGGCAGGGTTTATTTGCATTTGTGCAATCTACCAGACTTTAAACAAGATTGAACCTGGCTTTCATTAAGAGGAACGGTCAACTGCAGTGTTGATCAAAAATTGCTCTATAGGTTCCCTTGTGACCCCCCCATACTGAAGCAGTTGAAGTAAGCACTCAAGTAAGGCCTATCCTTTTGGCTGTCTTGGATAAACATTACAGCTAATTTGAGAGGGAAACCACCAACTGCAATTCAAAATATTCTCACTTCACTTGCATTTCATTCTTGAAAGTTTCCTTGTTTACTTAACTGATTAACTTTGGCAATTTATAATAGCTAAAGGATTTTTAAAATCCACTTGTGTTTCCTGCTGTTTGTTTGTTTGTTTTTTTTGAGGGTAAGGAAGAATCTTTGACTCCGGGTAATGTTATTTTTTTAAAAATTTAATTCATGCAAAGGACCACTTTTCCTCAGTTGGCTCTAAATTTATTGTCTCTGGTTGTACATAACACTTTTTTTTTTTCTTGTAAACAATTTAAAATTACTGGTTCCCCATGCCAATTGCACTGCAAGTCAGGTTTTTTGGGAGATTCAGACTTCACTGATATTTGAGCGTTCTATACAGTAGATGTAAAAGATCCCATGTCGTCTTGCAGTGGTGTTCTCCTTCTGTCCCAGCAAATATTTTTGCTAAATTTTAGTCAAGAGGAAACCTATTGAGTCATTGCCAAAATTTGTGGAAAAGTTAGTGTAAACTTGCTGCTGTTGGCTACATTGCAACAATGATTATATGTTAACAAAAAATTAAGGTGTTTTCAGATGTTCATGCAGTACCCATGACACTGTTCTTTTACCCCCAGCTAATGTAGCCAAGTAACAAAATGAGCTCCCCTAGTAAAGTTGCTGATTCTCAACCACTGCTAACCCAATAGGTCCTTAATAGTTGAGTATGATTGACTTGAAGCCTTGGAATACTTGACTTTCTCAACTGACAGTTAGTGATAAGGCTCAAATCTTTCCATGGTACCACAAGCTTTATTTCTCCACATTGTTTAATTTTTAGTGAATATTGCCTTCTGAATGGCAGCAGGATCAAGGGGCTGACTTGATCAGTCTGCTTCCATTCTTGTTTAAGATGCTCAACCTCCCAACACTGTTTTGGATATTGAACTGATCCTGACCTTAATGTCGCAATTTAAATTGCTCAAGACTGCTCTCAAAACCTAAACAATACTTGCTGGTTTGAAGCATGGATCTAAAAGACCAATATAAACTCTAGTTATTTGGTTTTCAATCTGAAATTGGCATGGAAGCTCTACACGAGGAGCTGTGGCCTGTCACCTGGTTCAATTTGTCAGCATTTTCACCCAATCCTTTTTTCCAGATTGAATTGGCAAGGAAAGGAGCAGATACAGCAAATCAGAAACTGCATGATGTCCAGAAGAAACTGCATCAGACCTGGGTTGACTGGCAGAAGAATCTTGCAAAAGAGCAAGTGGAGGAAGAGGGGACTCCAAAACCAGAAGTAAGAACTTTTTGAAAGATTTCTTTTTTCTACTGTGGAATTGATGGGTAGGACACTAGTAGTGGAAAAAGGTCAGCATAGAACATTCCTAACAAGAACAGAAGATCTGATTATTCCAGTCAATAACTGAAACAATTGAACAGCACTTTTATTACAGGTGAAAAGTGAATATTTTCAAATGCCATCAAACTGGGAGGTCCTGACAGTGTACTTAAGGATCAATACTTCCCTTGAAAGCTTTTGGAAAATTGATCTCTCTGGTAATCTGGCAAGTCCAAATGGTGATTAAGGTAACTTTGGCTTGAATGCCAGTCTACCAAAATGTACCAGAGGCAGCATGTCCCTGGTTAACAATTAACATGACTGAATAAACTAATCTACATTAATATTGGCAGTTTCACTAGTGGTGTTCACCTCTGACTTTCCCTTCTGTCACTACTGAGCTTCTGCAAATTGTTGACCTCAAGTGAGAACTTTCTGTAATGTAATCTGTCCAGGCAAAGATTAGATGAGAACAGTGTTTTATGAAATTTGTGTTGGGCTTCACTTCAGCTGTGATGCAGTTAGTTTGTCCAACAACAATATATACCATTGTTGAAATTCATTTATTGTATATCTTAAACAACTGTTTAGTATTTGGTGCTGATCAGTGTTGTGGGAAGGGGACAGTTTTCTGTAAATGTTGCTTGTAACTTGCCAGATCAGGCCAGGATGTTCCATGAGGTCACCAGACAATGTTTGCCAGTCTTGGCTTTACCAAGATTTGTCTGGTCAGCTGGATCAGTTAGTTACCAAGGATTATTAGTTTCATATCATACTGCATAATCTTTATGCTCAAACAGTGGATTGGAGGTTTTATTTGAAGGATTACCTTGGAGGATAATTTTTGAAATAGGCCAGAAGGTTACTAGTTTCCAATAATCTGTTCCTTGTAATCAGTGAAAATCTTTGTGCTTAAGTTTTAAGATCCCTTGGATATACAAAGGTGACAAAATTCTAATAGTTTTTCTCTTGTACTGCAGCAGCTTGAATCCCAAACCCTAACCATGGCTCGTGGTCTCACCCAGCAGTTACAGACGACCTGCCTAACTTTAGTTTCAAATGTACACGGCCTCCCTCAACATATTCAGGACAAAGTGCAGCAGATCCGCAAAACAGCAGAGACCATCCACACGTCGTTCTCATCTGCCAATTCCTTCAGTGATCTTTCAGGACAACTCCTGGCACAAAGCAGAGAGCAAATGCTGAAGATCCGGGAGTCCATGGATGGGGTGATGGACTATGTACTTCACAACACTCCACTCAACTGGCTGGTGGGTCCATTTGTCCCACAACCAAACGAATGCATTGAATCGGAGGAGATGGCAGTGGAGGAAGCTAAAGAATAGATATAATTGTGTACTCTAAATAGTTGGACCTCAGAATTAAACTTCTGAGGTATAGCCTTATTTCTGAAAGCTTTGAATAAACAGCATTAACATTCACTTGAATTCAGTCTTAATTTGTTACCCATTAATGATCCCTAAAATGTTTTTGTTTCTTATTTGGATAATGCTATCCAGAGACTCCTGACATCTGTGCTAATGTTGAATTTTCAATTTAATAAAGCTCTTATCTGAAACTTTTTCAGTTGGTCTTGACATTTTGCACATGAAGGGATATCAGTCCTTCTGTTTAGCAGAAGTGTTAGAAAACCTCTGCACTAACTTTTGGGATGTCTGACCATTTTCATATTATTGTTAAACATTCACTCTACAAGTTAGATTCTATTTGAGTTTTCTAATGAACCCTGATAACTGGTGTCAACTGAATTGCTAGTCCCTAGTTACTCTTTCTTCTAAAACTCTTCCCACTATTGAACTTCTGAGCACAGTCCGCTAGTACATCTGAAATGTTGCCATACAGCAGTTATTTCACTTGGTGCCTTTTTTTTTTAAAAGATTAAAATAGAAGAAAGTTGTGCATCGCTTTAATGCCTCTTTGAAATGACTTTGCTTTGTATTCTTCCAGTTACAAACTTCAAGTAACACTGCACTAAGATGGGTTTGCATTAATACTAATTTCAGTAACTTATACAAATTTTTATAAAGCAGTCAAGGAGTGTATTAGTGCTGTCTTTATGTACAGCCTTCTCCAGATTAATGCCTCTAAAGTGGAGTGACTAGGTATTTTATTAATTTCAATAAATGGCTAATGAACTTTTTTTTTAAAGTAAAGAATTACTCTTGTATAAACTGCACTGTTCCAGTGTGTTTTCTTTTCCTGCCTCCCCATTTCTCCCCCATGCTGCTTTCTTGACTATACCGAAACTTCCAACTTAATATTGCCCATACCAGTGGCAGATATGGTGCACGTTTAATAGCTATATTGGTGTCACTTAAACTAGAATTTTTTTTTTAAAAAAAAAAAACAAAAATTTCCTTTTCAAGGAAGGCTGATGACTGGTTATGCCTTCCCAGAGATCTATAACAATCACTTAGCTCTGAGGCTGTGCCTTCAGGTCCTGGTCTCTCCTACGAGCAAAAACATCATCTCAACAGCCACTCTATCCAGGCCATTCAGTATTCTGTAAGTTTTGATCAGAGCCCTCCATTTGTCTAAACTGAATACAGGCCCAGAGTCCTCAACCACTTCTCATAGGACAAGCCATTTATCCCAGGATCATTCTTGTAAACCTCCCTGGGCCTTCATCAATAATCCTTTCCCCCAGATGGGGCCCAAAACTGCTGTCTGACCAGAGCCTTCTAAAACCTCAGCGGTTTGAAACCTGCTCTTGTTTTCTCAGCCTCTTGAAATGAATGCTAACATTGCATTTGTCTTCCTAACTGCCAACTGAGTCTAAATGTTAACATTCAGAGGATCCTAACCAGGACTCCTATGTCCCTTTGTGCTGCAAATCTCCAAAGCCTTTCCCCACTTAGAAAATAATCTACACCTCCTCTTTGTACGGAAGTGAGATTATGCACACTTTTCCCACATTGTATTCCATCTTTGCATCTGCCATTTCTGTGCCCAGTCTCCCAGCTGGTCCAAGTCCTTCCACATCACTATCTATCCCTCCACTTATCTTTGTGTCATCTATAAACAGATCGACAATACCCTCCATTCCTTTGTCTACATTAATGTATAATGTGAGTAGTAGTCCCAACACTGACCCCTGTGAAACTCCACTAATCACTGACAGCCATCCTGAAAAATTTATCCCTTTATCCTTATTCTCTGCCTTCTGCCAGTCAGCCAATCCTTTGTACGTGCTAGTACTTTGTCCCTGAAACCATGGACTCTCTTGTTAGCAGCCTATTGTGTCAAAGGCCTTCTGGAAATCCAAAAAGATCATGTCCACTGGCCCTCTGTTGTCTAACTTGCTCATTGACTCCTTCAAGAATTCCAACAGATTTGTCAGTTGTCAGGCATGACCTTCCCTTGATGTAGCTGTGCTGACTCAGCCTTATTTTACCATGCCCTTCAAGTACTTCGCAATCTCATCCTTAATAATGGATTCTTTAAGATCTTACCAACAACTGAGGTCAGGCTAACTGGCCTGTAATTTCCTGTCTTCTGCCTCCCTTACTCCTTAAACAGGGGTGTTACATTAGCCATTTTCCACCATCCCTGATTCCAGTCTTTCTGAAAGATCACTGCCAATGTGTCTGCAATTTCCTCAGCCATCTCCTTCAGAACCAGAGCGTAGTCTGTCCACCAGCAGACTTATCCACTTTCAGACCTCTCCGCTTTCCCAGCAGCTCCTTGGTGACAGCCACTACACTCACCTCTGCCACTGACTCTCTTAAAGTTCTGGTATGTTGCTGGTGTCTTCCACTGTGAAAATTAATGCAAAGTACCTATTCAGTTCATCTGACATTTCTTTGTTTCCCATTACTTCTTCAGCCTCATTTTCAATGGTCCAATATCCACTCTTGTCTGTCTCTTACCTTTTTAGGTATCTTTTAAAATAAAACTCTTGCAATCTTCTTATATTTCTAGCCAGAATACTCTCATATTTCATCTTGTCCCCCTTTATTGCTTTTTTCCACTATCCTGTGCCAGTTTTTAAAGGCTTCCCAATCCTTCGGCTTCCCACCAATCTACATCACATTGTATGCTTTTTCTTTTGTTTCTATGCTGTCCCTGACTTCCCTTGTCAGCCATAGTTGCCTCATTCCCACCCCCCCCTTACTACGTTTCTTCTTCCTCGGGATGAATTTCTGCTGTGCTCCCAAATTACCCCCAGAAACTGCTGCCCCACCATCTTCCCTGCTAGGCTCCCCTTCCAATCAACTCTGGCCTGCTCCTCCCTCATGTTTCTATAGTCATCTCTACTCTATTGTCATATCGTTACATCTGATTCCAGCTTCTCCCTCTCAAAGTGCAGGGTGAATTCTATTATATTATGGTCATTGTCCCCTAGGGGTTCCTTTACCTTAAGCTCCCCTATCAAGTCTGCCTCGTTACACATCACCAAATCCAGAATTGCCTGTTTCCTTGTAGGCACTACTACAAGCTGCTCCAAAAACACCATCTCGTAGACATTCCATGAATTCCTTTTGTTGAGATCTACTAACAACTTGATTTTTTTCTGAGTCCACCTGTGTATTGAAGTCCTCCATGATTATTGTAATAGTGTCTTTCTTGTATGTATGTTCTATCTTCTGATTTATTTTCTTCCTCACATGCTGACTATAGCTAGGAGGCCTGTACATAACTCCCATCAGGGTCTTTTATCCTTTGTCGTTCCTCAACTCTACCGAATCGATACCATGCCTTACAATTCTATATCGCAGTCTCTGACTATTTCTACCCAGTTCACATTCTGAAAGCACAGTCGTTATTCTCCCATGGCATACTTTATCCCACCAAATGGAGTGGCATGGATAATTTTCCTATGAAACAATTTGAAAGTAACAACAAATCATAGGTCTAGCAACCTGTTGAATGAAGAAATAGCAAATGAAACATAGTGAAATTGTAGAGGCAAATCGCTGATTGGACAAGTATACTTTACAAAATGATTAATCCAAAATCCTTGTATAGCTCTGAGGGGTCTGTCTCGCTGTCAAACTATCAAAGGTTATTCACATAAATTTGGCATGTTAGATTTCCAACATACGCAGTTAATTAAGAAATAGATCTGCCGTTAAACTTGTGACTAAATTTCTCTCAGGTATCCTAAGAGCAATTATGATTATTTCTACACATGGCATTTTTAGAGACATTTTATATACTTGTTACTTGTGCTATTAACTTGGTGGGATTGGGACTTTATAATGCCTTAAACATGTTAACAATCCAACCATAGCTGACTATTCTTAGTTTGGTATCAGTTGATGAAGACAGCTGCTTATGTAAAAATAACAATTCATGGAAAATAAATGGCTTCACCATGGTCAATATTCGTAGTTTCTTTGCTAAATCAACATCAAGATTGCTGAAGTTGAGGAGGGCAACTAGTGCTTTTGTTTTATTTTTGCAAGAAAAAATGTGCAGTTTTGCAAAGGTTAGAAGAATTGTGAACGGTCTAATTCTGAGCAATGTCATCTACAGTACATAAGCAATTCACAATCTTTTCAAACTGATTTACGGTAGTTTCCAACCACTCACCTACTACCACGCCAGCAACTGTCTCCAGCAAACTAAATTGGAATGTAACTTTTAAGGTCAAGTTTAAGGAATCCCCTAAAGCACCTGATCCATACCATGGCTTCAAGCCAGCCAGATATGTTAGGTATTTACAAGTGGATTGTGCTGAGGAGACAACATCCAAACCTATACATTACCATCTCAGATAACTATCAGCTCAGACCTTTTTATTTATCCTTTGTGAATACACTAGGGGAAATATTGGCGAATCTCAATTTGTGGATTGTGATCCCTGCATCTCTTTGTTGCATTTCAGTGGAACATTAAGTGCTAGCACTTCCTATGTATTCAGTACCTGCATCAGCAGAATCACAAGGACTGTCTCTGTTCCAGGACTAGGCCCCTGGAACAACATTGTAATGATATCCCAGAACCTCACATCGCTGAAAATAAATACCACAGTGAGGACAGAGTTAGAACACACTTGAAAGAAACTCTAGAAGAACACCAGACCAGACTGTTAGATGGCATGAACATACAAAGAAAATAAATTAGTCCTTACCTTTGTAACTATAAGTCAAGGCTTGGTACATCTATGATTACGATGTACAGCAGTATTTAAGATTGATGTATAATAAATCGTATTACTTTGAGATCTAGGTCTGAAGAACTGTCCTTGACGTTGCCTTCTCCTTGATCAGTCTGTAAAGAACCCAGAACAATATATGGAAGCAAACCATATGATAAAAATGTCACTACTTAGACACAGCTTTTTAAGAGGAGGTAGATTGTTATTATAAGAGGTGGTCTGAGTTTTTTTCTGAAAATCTAGCTACAACCTGCTGTTGATGTCAATATCAGGAATTACATAATGAACATGGAAGCAATCCAAGAAGAGGTTTAATGACCTGACACGAGTGGTCAAGATGAGTGAGTTTCCCTTCAAATGGAATAGCCTGCCATAATCCTTATCCACTGCTTAATTTACAATACTCCATCAAGATCTACCAACAATCTCTACCAGTACTCAACTCAGGCATTCACAGGT